TCCATTAAAATGGTGTTGCTGCAAACAAAAAAGATGGTAATCTGATGGTGCCATATCTGGAAAATATGGTGGGTGGGGGAGAACTTCCCAACTCAACTTCATAATCTTGTGTTGCGCCAAATGTGCTACATGTGGACGTGCATTGTCATGGAGAAGAAGAACACCTTTCCGATTGAGGAGTGAAGGGCGTTTCTGATGAAGGGCTTGATTTAAACATTCCAGTTGCTGACTATAGATCTCTGCATTGACAGTTTGCTGTGGATTGAGGAGTTCGAAATGAATTACTCCTTTGGTGTCCCACCAAATTCAAAGCATCACTTTCTGCGGATGGAGTCCAGGTTTTGGGATCAAAAGTGATTTTTGTCTAGGACTGAGCCATAGTTTGTGGCATTTAATATTTGCATAGAGAATCCATTTTTCATTACCGGTGATAATTCTGTCCAAAAATGGTTCACGCACATTACGCCAGAAGAGCCGAAGCAATGTTTACATGTTGGAAACAATGATCATCGGAGAGTTCGTGAGGCACCCAAACACCTTTTCTATGGAGTTTCCCATACTCCTTAGATTTTTAAATATTGTTTTATGAGAGATATGCAATTTCAGGGCCATTTCACGTGTGTGAAATGGATTAGACTCAACAAGCGTCTTCAGAGCATCAATATGAATTCCAACATGTCGGTCCCTGTCATCACAGTTTTTAGGCTAAAGTCACCTAAACGAAATTTGCTGAACCATCGTTGACACTTATGAACGTTCAAAACATTTCCATAAACTACTTTGATATTCTTGGTGGCTACAGAGGCGTTGTTTCCCTTCTTGTATTCAAACAGCATTACATACCGATTGTATGTCTCGTCGAACAACAAATTAAATGTTACAAGTATTAGGTCGTTAAGAAATTAATGTCGTGTTTTGGAACACTTTCATTAGCCACCCCCCAAAAAACGTACATCATGTAAAATAGTTAAACGAACCGCCTAAACATCACGTTAGTGTAGCCCATATAATGTGTAAAGTTTAGTATACTTTAATCCCTTATAGTGATGGCATATTAAGTCATATACTGACAAAAAAAGAGGATGAAAAGGTACACATTGAACAATGATGAGAAAAAAACTACACAAACAGTTCAATGTTCTTTGTTGTCAAGGTTATATTCTATGTAGGGTAAATTAGTTATTGTTTATTCAAGTGTTTTCTAGGTAATTTTTGTGTTTGCTCATTCATTATTATTATTATTACATATTTTGTGGACCAGGTACATTTAAATGGTTTGTCTATTTCCTATTTATAAGTACTTTATTAACTTGTTATGTTTTTATAGTTTGTACCTTACTTATCATTTCTACGAATAACATATAATTTATTGTTCTATTTGTATTTTTTTAACGTAGTTGTTAACTATGTGATTTCTTATCTCTTTATATTTCAGTGTCGGACTTCATTACATGGCTTTTGTTGTCGGTTAATTTCATGGAATGTCAGATATTTGTTAGATATTGTTTATTTATGTGTTTTCTTGGTAATTTTGATCTGTTTACACATTCGTTTTTATTACTTTGTGGACTAGGTACATTTAGATAGTTTGACCATTTTATATATAAATACTTTGTTAATTGGGTATGTTTGGTTAGTTTGTACCTTCCATATCATTACTACTAGTAACAAATAATTTTTTCTTCTCTTTGAATAATTTTTTCGTCATTGTTAAGTATGTACCTTCTTCTCCAAATTTTAGTCAGTGTAGGACTTAATTCTGTGTCCCTGTCATATAGGTTATTTTTTCTGTCTGGTACATTACATATTTTTGTGTTTTCTCAGTAATTTCTGTCAGTTGGCACATTTGTTATTTTTACATTCTTTGTGGACTAGAAAAATTTTGATGCTCTTCCCATTTGATGTTTGTCAGTACTTTGTTTACTGGGTATGTTTTGATAGTTAGTACATTACATATCATTACTACTAGTAATAAATATTCATTGTTTTGTCTGAAGTTTTTCATGCATGTTCACTTGTGCCATCCCTTCCTAATTTTCATCAGTGTGGGACTTAAAATTTTGCCTTTTTATTTCAGTGACGTGTTCATTTCTTTCCCGTTCATAGGGCTGAGCTTAGCTTTGGTTCCTTTTCCTATGCTCATGATTCTAGGCAGCTCTTTATGTGTTTTGTCAGGGAATACAAACTTTTGCCCAACTTTTTCACTCTATGAATCTTGCATGGTCTTATCTTGTCCATTGTCTCAGCCCATGGTCTAACTCCACATTTTGCATCCTTCATTCCCAATCCATGAGACCTTCTTCCAAGTCCATTTCCCAGTGATGTTAGTATACCTCTGACTTTGATCTGTTCACCATGGTTTCTGTCCTTCTCACCTTTCCTTCCCTATCATTCACCAGGTAGTTTGTCAAAGGCTTGTCCACTTCGTGTGTGTCTAACTCTCGGGCAGCCTTGTCTACCTCCTTCCTTTTCTTCTAGGTTTTGTCTTCCCCTTTCTGTTCCTTTGCTTTGCCTATTGGGATCTCCATGTGGTCCTTTATACCCTTTCCCATCCAACATTTCAGCTTTTGTCTTAATGTTCCATCTATCTTCACTCCCTCACAGCCTAATTCCTTCTTCTCTTTACTTGTGGTTGTCATCATTCAGAATTTCATACCATCGTGTTACCCACATTGTTACCATTCCTCCTATGTCATCCTTTATCTTGACCTTGGTCCTTCTTCCCCAGAACCTATGCTGCCAGTGACTGTGTTCTTGCTTTCACACCCATTTCTTTACCTTCCATTTCCCACCTGTACTTCTATTCCAATCTAGATAGATTTCCATGTCTGATTTGTTCCTTTAGGTGTTATGTGGCACATTCTACCTCTTTTTTTAGGGGGTTTGCATTCCTGGCTCATTATTCCCTGGAACCCTTCAGTTTCCAGTGTTCTATAGCCTGTTACTCTCACTGGTTGGGTTTGTCAGTTCATCCAACTAGCTTAATTGCACTTGTCCATGGAAAGTTGCTGCCTCCACAATGTCTCTTCTCATAAAATTTTGTCACATTACTATGTTTTTTTGCTTCATCCTTCACTATCCTTTGAAGGAGATTGTTTTTGGCTTGTATGTGAACTACTTTCAATACCTTCATCTCTCATTGTCTGCTAGAGCTGGCTGTGTCTTCCACCCCTCATGATTCTACACATATCCATTCACCTTTGCTTGGGGTAAGTCTAATCGCTTCCTTTCATCTATGTTGCTTCCCTAATATTAGCATCTTCTTTACAGATCCCATCTTGTGGTGGATGTTGCCTGATCAGGTATGCTTTATTTCAAAACTGCACTAATTGAAGTAACTATATAACACTCACAGTTGAGATGGGGTATTTCTGCAAGACCACTGGGTGCCTTCCCAGTTGTGTATGTGTATATCTATGTATTATAATTACATCTTTAATGGACCATCTTCATGCCCATGCCTGCCAATCCTTTGATTCCTTAATTGGGTTCAGTCTGCTTTTCAAAATAGGGAAACACAGTCACCCATTGTGACATTCCTCCAGGCTTCTCACTGCCTTTTTACTCCCCTCCCCCTCTTTTTTTTTTCCTTGTAGTGGAGCATTGGAGTCCTTACCACTCTCAGTTCCCAGTCGCTGGGGTAGTGGACCAAGGAGGCTTCCTCCTGAGTGTAATTCCATGTTACTGTACTAATGCTCATTTATCCATTCAGTGAGAACAGGGTGAAGCTGGTTCTGTATTGGCATTTCACCCAAATGTTTTCTGCTTGGTCAGACTGCACTGAATGAAACCAATAATCATATAACAATTGGTCCAACCTATGTGGGATCCTTCTCATAATTCTGGTTGCAGATGGTTCTTTCCTACTTCTATGGTTGGGTTTGAGAGACGTAGTCTGCCTCATAATACCAGCAATGGGATGTCCATGCTCTGTTTCCATGGTTGGGCAATTGTTGCTTGTCCTCCTCGTGATTCCGGATACAGGATGTCTCTGCCCTACATTTACGGTTGAGTGAGTTATGATTTTGTGCATAATACCATGGTGGTTTTGAGAGTTTGTCCGATTATGGCAATTGCTCACTCCCTCTTCTTAATTCCGGTTGTTTGACATATGGCACTCTGTTTACATACAGTTGGGGTTGTTGGGTGTCGATAACATGGTCCACATGTCCTAGCCACTTGTTATTATTACATTTTTTTTCACTCTTTATATATTGCTACAGCTTGCATCTTCTTAATTAAGCCCTTTGACAATCATGCGAGCACTACCTATTTTGCCAATTTTGTGTTCCTTTCCTCATCTAGAAGTAGTGCGGTACCCCACAGGTATGCTTCATTTTTATCCCTGAGTGCACCCGTTCATTCTGGGTGGTCACTTTCTGCTTGGTTGTTCTTTGTGTGCCTACACTGGTCCTCCACCTTTGCAATGTGGGATTCTAGCTTTTGTGTGAGAGAAGGTAAGTATGTTTTAGAAGTTAACATTTTCTTACACTGAAAATGTATTCCCAATAGGTACTTACAATTCTCATCCTTCCTTCCCTACTAGTGTTTTTATTCTAGTACCTGCCAATTCTCAAAGTGAGGATTGAGCGGGAATAGCAGAGGGACCTAGCTGTGCCATTATAGGTGGTGCAATGCTATTGGTGTACAGGAGTCACATGATATGTACATGTTCAAGAATGGCATGAAACTGGTAGGGTATAAAGACTGGTGTGCTGATTACTAAAAGTTCTTTTAGCAACATTCAGAGGGCAGACAACAATCGAGATAGCTTTTGTGTGAGTAGAGGTAAGTACCTATCGGAAATACGTTTTCAGTGTAAGAAAATGTTAACTTACAATAATTATTCCTTTCCATAATATTATCAGAATTTTTTTTTTCTTGTCATTCCAGATGAAACTGGTTCATCTATTCCCACTCCCACCCCAGCCCATTTTTTTAAGTGTTATAAGAATTATTCTTTTGTAATTATAATGTGTAAAGTTCAACAGGCTATTTCCTATTTGGTACGCATGAAGAGAATTATCATTATTCAGGATATAGTTTAAATAGGCCAGTTTGTGTTTGGTAGCCATGATAAGAATTATTTTTTAAGCATCCTGAGTATAGTTTATACCAGTTTTAATATTTCATTTTTTGTAAGTGTGATCAGAATTTATTTTTCAAATCATCTTGAATAAAGTTTTTAAAAACTATTGTGTATTTTGACCTAGTAGGTAGACATTTAACTTACATTATACTAGTTGTGAGATTGCTCACCATTTCAGTTATGGGTTTTTATAGTGTTCCAGGTCAATCTCACTTTTTCATTAATTAAGAGTAGCCCAATAGTTGGTGGTTTTGATTAGCTTTTGTTAGCATGACAATACCCCCTCCCCCCTTTTTTTTTGTGATAACATGGGTAAAGTTTTGCAGATTATTTTCTATTTGGCAGGCATTATCAAAATTACCCTTTTACAATTATCTTAAAAGTTGATATGTGTTATTTATCTGTTATGAATATGTGAGTTATCACAGTATCTGGCTTTAAACTTAAATCCTGTGATGTAAGTACAGGTGAAAATGTCACAAAATATATCTGCTTTCAGTGGGAAACATTTACATAGAGTGTCTATGCATCTAATCAGAGCTTTTCATCGTTGTTTAAAAAGGATGTTAGCAGCTAATTTATATAAATATTATTTTATTGTTATTATTTTTTCAGTTATCATTACCCAAGACCTATTCCTGGCCAGACAAAAACTTGTCCATCACCTTGCTTCCTGAAGAATACTAAACATCGGGGGATTACTAATGAGCTTTAGTTCTGACTAAACAACACACCACAAATCTTGGTTAGAGACAAGTTTAGGTGTTATTATAAAACACTTGATGCAGTTCATAAACTGTTATCAGTCAATATAAGACATTGCCACTTTCCTCCAGTTATCAAACATATGAACAGATGTCTTTTTTAACTTCCAAAGGTTCTGTTTGATTTTAAATATGTAAAGATGGCATGACACAAAGGAAATCCTAACAAGTTTGTGTACTATATTGTATTCTGGAAGGTTAAAAAATTCATTTAATAAAATTTTTTGTGTTTCTCACAATAATACAAATGATAAGGACTGATAAAGAAATTAATTTATATATTATATCTGCTTGACATAAGTGTTTTACAAAATTATGTTTAAAGTTGCCAATAAATGTTTGATTTTTATTTATTCCACAGAAAAGCTTTTAGTAATCTGAATGGTTGAGTTACATTAAAAGTAGATAGGTATCTCTCAATTTTAGAGTTAGTAACAAGGTTTAGCTAGTAGCCCTTAACATTAACTAAGAAGTATGTCAGATAAGATCATTGTATTTAAAAATTGCAAAGTATTTTAAGAAAATAAATTTTTCGTTTTTTTTAACCCTGTGAAAAATGATAACACTGACAATAACTAAACAACTTAGTACACTCCTTTTTTAATTGTTATATTATTGAAAGTTGAAACTTAGTAATTGATGACTTTAAAAATGTTCAAGCTTGATGTCCATTTTTTATTATTTTAATATTTTATGAAAGCGTAAACATTAGAGCCTCATTAGTAAATCATTATTGTTCTATACATTTCACTTATGCCTCTCATATTGAATATTTTATCCATTGATTGTTGGATATATCTTGTGACATTAATTTAGTATATTCATAGTTTTTTATAATTTATGATACAGACACACAGGTCAGGAATACTGAACTTAATTGTTGCTAAATAACATGACAGTTGATTTTTAATCAGTTTTATGTATACACAGATTTTTTTGAACACTTCCCTTACAAAAGATTCTTGTACATATGTTGAACAGAAAGTTAAATTCAACTATAAATATTTTACTACTAGGCATCTTTCTCAAGCAAATAAAAATTTGTAACAATACATTTTGTATAGGCAGAGACTTAAGTTTGACATGGTTAAATCTTCTTCTCCAATTAGACATATTTTTTAATTTTAGTTACAATTCCTAAAATGAAATCTGATAGTCACAGGTTTAAGTTTGACCTATTTAATTTCTTTCTTAGTCAATATTTCATTAGAACCAATCCTATCTTCAGAAAAGTACATTTGATGATTGAGCATTAATGTATAAATGTCAGTTAGTAAATACTAGCTAAATCAATCATTTAAAAATTTCAAAGGATTGAGGAATGTTATAAAAAATATTGTTATTATTTTTTAAAATCAGTTACTTGTTCATAGGTGTATGTATGCTTTAATAAACATGTTTCATTACTGTGTGTTCTACTTACTAGTTTATTTTGAATGGCTTTGATCACTTGTTTGTTTATAAGCCATCAAATTTGATGTTGTAGTCCTAAGATTTGGTGTTCTTGCATGAGTGCATAGTCTAGGACTAGCCTTTCTGTGAATAGGAGTGACTTAGAATTCAAGTTGTTTTTAACTTAGAACCTTTGATCAGATGAAGTTGCTGAAAGATCTTGAGTTATTGCAGTTTCTGACTTTAAACATAAATCATATGATATGAATGCAGGTACTAATATCACTCAAATCTAACTACTTTCAATAGGAAGTATTTGCATTGAGTACCTTAAATAGAAAATTTTCAGCTAATGTAAGTGTTATTGTTTTTTGTTGTTGAATATGAAGGACACGTTTTGCAATTAGTAGTCTCACTTAACTTTAAAATTAGTCTCTGGTATGTCTGTAAAGGTTTTTTTGCACAATACTGATAAAACATTCTTCTGAAACTATAAATCCTAGTTTTTTCCTTTCAGGGACTCAACCTGAAAGTATTGTTCAGAAGCATGTTTTTGAAGACAAAGTAGTCATCACATGGAAATATCATCATAAACTTCAAATGTTAAAATTAGCATGATGATAAGACTGCTTTGATATAATACCAATTTATCGGTATATGTTTACCTAGAATTAGTTTGATTTGCAGGTCTGTTCATTGGTGTTTTTTAATATTTTAAGATATTGCATGTGGGAAAATTGTATTCAAATGTATAAAGTATAAAAACACTTGGATAAGTGGCACACTGTAAATAAAGCCTATTTATTAACAGATCAAAAATCATGTTACCTTTGATGATTATCACTCGGAAAGTGAAATTTGAAACATAAGGACAATATTACAATTTGCACTTTTAGTTTTTGTGATTCGTGCAAATGACTGTCACGGCTATTTTGTGTTGGTTGAGAACTTTGTATTGATGGGTAAAAAATACTAAATATTTCAATATGACTAATTAAGCATAAACAATAAAAGTATGGTGAATTAAGCATATTACAAAATTATATTTTATCAGGATTTTAAGTAGAAAACTTAAAAACTTTTACAATTTCTCTTCAAAATGTTTTGGAGGCTGTACACATGCACATATTGATTTTTTTGCATTGACACCAAACAATAAATGGGGTTTAGTAGTTCCATTTCAGCAGAAGCCAAAGGTTGTTTTTATCAACATTGTAGTTAACTACAGAATTAGAAGGAAAAGCACAGGTTCAGTATAATGTCATCCATCGATCAGCTGGTACTAAAGGTAGGAAAAACAATAAATATGAAAAAATGTTATCCAATAATCTTTCATTATCTGTTGGATGTTTGTTTATGAACATAAATAACATAAAACCAAAGCTACTGGAATTTTCTTGCCCTAAAACTGAAGAAAATAGACTGGCATGGCAATATAAACATGCATTTATGGGTAAGATTTAGTAATATATATGTATGTACCTTCTTGTTAACATTTCTGTTCCTGTGAAAAATTTAGACAAGTGTTTTTAATCCTTTTTTTTTTATAAATGCAAAATGTTTTTTAATGAAATCCCTTTTTTGTAATTCACCCATGTAATGTTTTTATTTTAAAATTATGTAAGAACTAATATTATACTCAATAGTTATTATCAAAATGTTTCCCAGGAGAAGTTATAGAAGGGAGTGACATGAAATCATTAATAAAAAAAAAAAAAGTTTTATTTCACCACAGAATTTGTTTTTGAAATAATGTCTCAAATTTTAGAAATATTTAACACAGATAAGTAGACGTGTTTGGAATATTTTTTATGAAATGTTTGAAACATTATGTACATCTGATATATTTGTTAATTTATTTTACTTGAACTGCATAAAACATTGTTAAGCATGCACTGATTAGTAGTATTGTATGGAGAATATGTGGTTTATTTTATGAATTAATACATAACAAAAAGAAGTCTTCTAAACAATGTGTAGAAATTATGATATAAGTTAAGAAGCCACTAAATATGCATACACATGTCGACTTAATCCTGCATTACTTTTATGGATATTTTTCATAAATAGTATCTAAAGCAAACAAATATTAGTGAAAAATCACTTCAATGAAATTCCAGTATTTCAGAACATGTAATAGTAATATCACATTCTACTAACACTAATAATTGGTTACTTATTTCTATGAAGAACAGCTAGATGAAGTCAGGTATATGCAGATTGTTTGTTGATGAAAACTACTAAAACTATTGTGATTATGGTTAGTGGGCTCTTATTGTAATATTTATCCCATCCACTTTTCTCACTTCATTTAAAATACATACAGTTTTAGAATGGATTAAATTTAAATTGTGTTGAGATTTTGTTGAAATTCAGTGTCATAGGAATTATTCTACATTAATGTGGAAGTACAGAATACAGATACTTCTGTTTCATTAATAATTTCTAAAATATTTAAGAAATGTTTTTTTTTTGTCTTGCTTGTACATACATTATACTGGAGAAAAGTAATTGATCTTGATGCTTAGTGTTATATAAAAATACAGCCATATGGACTGTGAACTTCTGCAGTTTTTCTTGATTCTGCATTGAGCCCAAAACATTGTCTTGAAATCAAAGAAAAATGGAAGAAGTCTGTAGAAAACTGAGTTGACATATTTGAAAACACTGCCTGAATCCACTTGGGGGAAAAACATAATAATAATTATGCATGAAAACTACTTAGAATTGTATTTACAGTGTATGACTTCCTTAATTTTTATTTTTAAAAAACGCATCCCAATAACTGTTATTTCTTTATATATTTTGAATTATTTATGCATTTAAAGTTTTAAATAGTTTGAGGAAAATGCAGCATTATTTTCATGAATCTGATGTATCTTAAGATTTTGAAATTATTTCAAATACTAATATCTTGTGTTAAAATTTTGTGAACGAAAAGTTGAATAAGTAGTTGTTTTCTTTTAATAATTGATTATGTTTTAAATGAGACATTTGATGACAATAACTAAATCAAGTTTTTGTTTTAGCGATCCTTTTTATCAAGTCATTATATTTCAACAGTGTGAATTCTTAAATTTCTCTTTCTACTGACACAATTGAAAATGTGAATTCTGATCTACACTAAAATTTGAAAAGTGCCTTGATAAAAAAACACCAGAACAGTATGTAAAAAAGTGTATTATAAAAATTTTTAGTGCTCATATAAACACATTCTTTAATAATTTCTGTTTTGTTATAGTTTCTTTGTTTAAAAATCTTGCAAGTTTAATAAAAAGATGTTTATGTTTTAACAAAGCCTGGTTGCTAATATATAATGTCTTTGTGTGTAGAATAATACCAATACTTATGTCTATAAACTTACAGCCATACCAAACAACATTTTTGTGTAATCAAACGTACAACAGTAATCCTTATCTTTATGTGTATAAAACAAGTATGATATAGATGAACAACTTTATATTTTTCTGTGCATAAGATATAACAGTGCTATACAATATCTTCATTTGGTGAAATCATACAGTTGTACAACAGAATGTCATAAAACTGTGCAATGCATCATTATGTGAATGAAGGGTCTTCCTGAAGTGCTTTTCACATGTATGTGGAAAGTGGTCAAGTGATAATAAAATGTAACTTTTCTTTCATATAATTGTTTTTTTTCTTTCCAAGCATACTCTGATTTATTGAAATGCTGCTCAAACCTCGTTTTCTTTTTCTAAGATGTGTGCTGAAGATCAGTTTATTTACTTTCCATATCACACTAACTTTATGAGATATATTTTACAAAGTCAACAAATGGGTGGTTAATGGTGCAGAAATATGAAGTATTTGTACCTCTTTGCTAACACAAGTAACATTAATGTATGCTGATTTGATGTAGATGTAAAAATTAAGCAGGGTTAGAAATATTAATATCTGGGTCATTGCTATTGGACCATTATATTCTTTATTTTCATGCATATTTTTGACATCAGTTACCATCAAACATACTACTGTAGAGCTAGATCTGTGTTTCTCTGACAACAGTCACTAAAACATAATACTGTAAAGTTTATTTATAGCTTGAATCTTGAAGTCCATTGAATAATCCTAATGTATGCAAAAATTAATAATGGTACAATGAAATTAAATTTACATATTTAATAATAAAGTAACTCTTGACAGTTAATATTAATAGACATTATGATCAGTAAATAATTAATTAAATGTGTGAAACAAATTTATTATTGTCAATGTGTACAGTCACCAGATCGTTTTAGTGTCTTTCTTTTCCATGGTTTATGGTACAAAGATGGTCTGGCTTTTTCCACTCTGCCACACTTACCGTTCTGTCATCTGAGGTGGTACTCTTCAGGTAGGTAGGTAAGGAAATCCATCCTTGGTGATACTGTGGAAGTGGTATTGACAGGAATTGCCAATCTTCAGCACGTTGAATTACCAGATCTGAAGTCATTTTGAAGCTAACCAGTTGGCTATTCACTCTGATGTGCTTCCAAAAATGATTATTATGGATAACATTTGTCTGTGAATGTTGCTTCTTCTTCTGGAGTCTATAAACTACTTCACTAATTATTTTGATTATAACATAGGGTCCTTCCCAACATCTGCTTAACTTTGGAGTTCATCCTTTCTTGCAGTGAGTATTGTACAATCATACTATGTAACTACAGTGAAATCCAGTGTTATCGGCATTTATATTAGAGCAACTTTTCATCTTATCACCAGCTGCTTTTGGTCTTTTTTGAGTAAAGGCATGTATTGGAACAATAGTGTTCCTAATTCTAACTGCACACTGTATAGGACTCTGGTTAGTGATGATCCACAGTGTGTGTGTGTGCATGTGTGTATCTGTTCACAGAAGTTGCAATGGCACTTTGAGTTCATTTTCAAACGTTAGAGATGCTGGTGTGCTGTCTGTAGTTTCATGTGTTGCTATTCTATAACTCACGAGTAAAAGTAGAAGATCTTGATCCCACGTGTATGATTTTGAAGCTCATCCACATAAGTGATTAATTTTTTTCAAAATATACAGTTGTATATTTTCAGCATTCCATCAGAAAATTAATGAAGGGCTGTTGTCCTGGTCACTTTATACAAAGGATTTCGCATATCTAGGCAAACAAAGCTGATTCAGATTTCCATATCTGATCTAAGAAAGTTGCATAGACACCCCAAATCTTGAAAAAGATTAATTGACAGGCTTTATTGCTAGTTTCTACTTCCTGGTTATGAACAATATATGCTTCTGGTCATTTTGTGAAATAGTTAATCAACACCAAGGTGTATTTATTCCTACTGTTACTCTGTGATAAAAAATCAAGTATATTGACAGCAGCTCTCTCAAGTGATGCTCCAACACAATACTGCAACACTTGACGATATTTTTTCTTTCATGTACTTTTCTTCTTACATCACAGTTCACAGAATTTGCATCAATCTCCTACAGATACTTAACATCTAACCCAATAGAAATGTTCTCTTATTTCTTCTGTTGCATGCAATCTTAATGCCCAAGTGTCCAGTTGTTGAAAGATTGTTGAGTTGATGAAGTGCTTCCGATCATAGTGACTATCGCGGGTTCGAATCTCCGTCACACCAAACATGCTCGCCCTTTCAACCGTGGGGGCATTATAATGTGACGGTCAATCCCACTATTCGTTGATAAAAGAGTTGGCAGTGGGTGGTGATGACTAGCTGCCTTCCCTCTAGTCTTACACTGCTAAATTAGGGACGGCTAGCACAGATAGCCCTTGTGTAGCTTTGCGCGAAATTCAAAAAACAATCACAGTGACTATGGAAGCAAAATATGTAGTCGT